CACAGTGATGGCGATGACGATTAGCACCCAAGGGCAAAGGGGGTCCAGAGTGAGGCTTCTAGCTGGCGGTACTTGGCGCATCAGGGAAGAGCCTGCTCTGGCACTGTCACCTACCCAGGCCTGTCTGGACAAGCTGCCTCTGGGTTATTTCAAGAGAAAATGAAAGCAAACACAGATAGGAAAAGTTTCAAGCCCAGCGCCAGGCCTGGAGTCGGTGGGGAAAGGCCGTTTGGATCGAACCTCTCTGAATGGTCCTGCGTTGGGAGTGTGGTTTAGGACAGAGCCATGCAGGCCAGGCTTTGCGGTGTCTCACACCTATAATCCCAGCACTTTGGGAGGCTGAGGCAGGAGGATCACCTGAGGTCGGGAGTTCGAGACCAGCCTGACCGACATGGAGAAACCTCATCTCTACTAAAAATACAAAAATTAGCTGGGCATGGTGGCATGTGCCTGTAATCCCAGCTACTCGTGAGGCTGAGGCGGGAGAATTGCTTGAACCCAGGAGGTGGAGGTTGCAGTGAGCCGAGATAGCGCCATTGCACTCCAGCCTGGGCAACAAGAGCAGAAGTCGGCCTAAAAAAAAAAAAACAACAAAACAGAGCCATCTAGCTGACCTACCAGGAAGGAGTTTCAGGAAAGTATTTGGAAAGAGTGAGCCTCCCACCTGCGGGCAATGGGCAGGGCTCGGGGCAGCTGGGGCCTCTCAGGAGACATCCATGGCTGTCTTTTCGCTCCCCTCCCCAGGGTGTGGGGCTACTGTTTCCTCTTCCTCAGTGTGCCATGTTGGGAAGAAAGGCTGGGTCCACTGGTGTGCAAGATGCTGCGGTGAGGCAGGGGAACATGACTGGGTTAAAGGACTCCTTCGCGCTCAGGTTTCAGAACCTTCTCCATATCTTCCCCCACTATTGCCCAGCACAGAGCTGGCACAAAGCAGGCATGGAGGCCACCCCTGGCATCAAGGCTGCTATATTAAGGCCCTGGCAGAGCTGTGGGCATGCTGGAGACAGCTTCCTCCTTTCGTGATGGGAGGTTGGGGGAGGGCCATGGCTAAGACTCCCGGACCCTGGAGCTCTTTTTGGGTGGAGAGCTTTCCTGATGGCAGCAGGGGATCTGGGTGGCTCTAGTGAGTTCTCTAGAGTTGGTGTGGGAGGCAAGGCCTTGGCATGTGGCACAAGCTGCTGTCCTCTGAGCCCAGAGTCTCTTGTTCCCTTCCATGTCTCCACAAGTCTTCGGTCCCTGGCAATAGTACCTGCTCTGTGATGTTTGCTTACACCCACAGAATTCCAAAATGCAGGAGATCGAACAAACGTTGGCTGATGATGCCTTTGGAAAACCTTGAAGAAAGGTTTACTACTCCTCTCCTATGTCCGGAGGCTTGGCTGGGTGTCACCGAAGACACAAAGAATGAGGTGAGTGTCTCAGAAGGCAGGGGGCAGATGACTGATTGCAGCAACTAGTCCAGCACACAGGGGAAGGGGAGGAAAAAGAGAAAGAGACAGAGACAGTGACAGAGAGACCGGGAAACAGAGATTGGGAGAGAGACATAGACATAGGGAAAGACTGAAAGAGAAAGAGGAAAAGAGGAGAGAAAAGGAGAGGAGAGGGAGGGAAGGGAAGAGGAAGGGGAAGGGGGAGAGGAGGGCGAGGAGGGCGAGGAGGAGGGAGAGGGAGGGCATGGAGGAAGAAGGGGCGAGGAGAAGTGAAGGGAGGAGGGGAGAGGAGAAAAAGGGAAAAGGGAAAATAAAGGAAGGGAAGAGAAAAGGAGACGGGAAAAGATGTGTTATGCAATTTGTGTATCCGTTGTGCGTCCTCACTTCTAATGCCTTCCTGCTGCCACCAGCCCAACCTCAGAGCTGGGCTCCACTGGGTAGTCAAGTACTTGGTTCTATTTTTAATGGCAACCCAGAAGCTGTTTGGGAAAAGGCAGGGCGATCTGGTGAGAAGAGCTTTGTAGTGAGACAAAGGCTCCAATCTGGCCCAGCTGCCTCCTACCTGGGCGCCTCTGGCCAAGTCCCTGAACCTCTCCACACCTCCCCTGCTCATCTGCAGATGGGGGTGAAGACAGCGCCCTCCCAGGGCTGTCATGAGCAGGCCACATGGTAATGTGCACAAGGCTCTGCACACTTGAGCATTTTGACGTTTTCCAGCGGAGGGGCGGGTAGAAGGGAGAGACCTTGATTTGAGGGGTAGAAAGAGGCTAAGACAAGGTCAGCCTTCATGAAGCTGGGAGCAGCAGTCTTTTGCACGCAGCCCTGCCAGAAAGCATGGATGCCTTAAGTACCCAGAGGGCTGCGCTTCCTGGCCCAGCAACATTATTTATAAGACACGAACATGAAATGGAATCTGTCATTTGCCAGTTGCCAGCAAACCCTTCAGAGTTCTGCCATTATACTCGGAGTCTTATTAGCTGTCTGCTGCAGCATTTCTTCAGTTTCAGCCCAGAGGTTTGATTTTTTTTTTTTTTTTCCAATTTCCTTCTGTTCATTTTGCTCTGGAGGTAATGCTTTGGGATACTTTTCTAAAGAACAGGTGGAAATAATGCATTTTCTACATGAAAGCCAACATGGAGGTAACTCTCCCTCCATGTCCCTGGAAAGTGGTCTAGGGTGAAGGTGCCTTCCAGGCCTCAGCTCTTCCTACTTGCTGGCAGGTGGAGGCATTGTAGGAGGTGAGGTGTCAGGTGGTTGACATCTGCTGGTCTAGGGATGTGCTTTTTATGAGACAAGCTGGCAGTTCCCACCCAGGTTGAGGGACTGTCACAATAATTTTAGCCAAGGAATCTTGAACCCACTCTCCCAGCCCTGGGTCCCACGAGGATGTTCTGGAACTCAGAATCCCTGAGGTTTGGGGAATCACACAGGTAGCCCAGTTCTTTCGGTGAGGTCCCCCAGATGGCTCCCTCTGCTAGTGGAGCCAACTGTCCAGATCAGCTCCGGGCTGTCTTGTTGAACACCAAAGTGCAAATGGCTGGAGGCAGCTGGCAAGATGCTAAGTGCAGCATTAATCCTAATTAGGATGAGGAATTAATAAAGGAAGCCAGGCTTGCCGGCGCGGAGGAGTTTCAGAATTTCCACTGGGAAGCTGGAAGGCCCTGGGTCCACTCATGCCTTTGGGTCGTGCCAGTGGCATGACTTATGACTTACTGTGCCAGGCAGATGGCACCCAATGGAACTTGCTTGTGAGGTGGAGTATGGAGCATTGCAGCCCCTGCTCTGTATCCAACTCAGGTGCTGTGGCAGGTAGTGACGTGGGTACATTCCTCAGAGGAGAGGAGTAGGTGTTCGCGATCAGAGCAATTGAACACCAAAAAATGATGTTTTTCAAAAGAAAAGACGAGGGTGTGATCGTGAGCCCACTGGCTCTTTTGTGTGTTTCTCTAACTACTGATTGCACATTTCTGTTACCTGAAGATGCCACTCAGCCCTGGCATTATGATCCAAATTGCAAAGGGCACAGCAGCCTCTTTTGGGAGTGGGGGTGGGAGACAGAGGTGGGCAGGATTCCCGATGAGATGAGAACAAGCATGGTCTGGAGGGGGAAAGGGGGCCAAGTTGACTTCACTCAGCAGACCCAGCTTCACAAAGCCTCTTTTCAGAGGACTTCAAATGCGCCAGAAAAGGGCTATGGTTTTAAGAGCTCCCTGCCAACCTCTATCAAGAAACAACCGCGGCTGAATTCCGTGCAGGGGCTGGAACTGCAGTAAGGAAGGCTAGGTATGAGGGAGAACTTCCCGAATAACTGAGGGGCGGAGCTCACATTCGGGGAAAGGTCAAGGGAAAAGAAAGAGGGGATTCTGTCCAAGGGTTTTTTGAAAAATCAAAGGAAAGCCCCCACCAGCTCCCTCCACCCGGTCCCTGATGTGAGAGCGACGCTTAAGCAGCAAACCTGTGCCCAACCTGGCTGGGACCAGGCAGCCCCTCCCCAGCCACCTGTTCAAGTTCCGTAGCCGGGCAGAAGGGCGCCCGCCCGGAAGGCACCGAAGCTGAGCGCATTTTGGCATTGGAGACATCCAGTCCCCTCCCCAGGAGAGAGCTGTCCCATAGTCCCGGGTCGAAAGCCTGGCCCCTAGAGGCATTCCAACCTCTTGACACCTACTACGCGGCCTCCAGTCGCATCTTGGGGTCGCAGCGCGCAGCTCGGATGAGACGGCCACGCCCCTCCCAGGCTGTTGCCCGTCCGCCGATCGCCCCTGCACACCCCAGTTTCCTACTGAGGTCTCCCGCAGCCTTCCTGCTGAGGGTCCGCGACCGAGGTCGCTGTCTCCATTGGGGGAGACTCGGGGTCGCTCCCCTCGCTGCCCCAGCGCACAGCGAGAAGCTGGCCAGTAGCTCTGTGGAAGACGAGGCGGGCAGCGGGCTGGGACTACCCAGGTACCCTAGATCCGCTCGGCACCCAACCCCCATCCTCGTCCCGACCGCGCCCCCCGCAACCGCGCCCCCGCCCCTACATCTGCCCTCACCCCTCGGCCTGAGCCGGGAACGAGCGCCCAGCGGCCCCGAGGTGCCCCACCCCCGGCCGGCCCCGCCCCAGGGTGGCCAGTTCCCATAGCAATCGCACAGACACCGGTTGCCAAGCAACCCCTCCCCCCTCCCGTCGACTACCCCAACCCCAACCTCCTCCCGCCCCCTCGTCAGCCTCCACCTCCCCCGGGGGTGCCGGCGCAGCCCCTAGGGATCGCTCGGGTCCTGGGGTTCGCGCGCACGCGTGAGTTTCGGTGTGTTTCATTGTGTCTGTGGGCGAGGGGGTGTGCGTGTGCGCGTGGAGAGTTTGTGGGGTCGGTGTGCTGGGGAGGACCCAGCTGGGAGAGACCCGAGCTGATGCACAGCTGGCCGCGAGGGGACCCGCCCGCCCGCTCAGGCTCCTTTGTGTCTCGCGCGGAGCCAGCGCCGCGCCCACCCCCTCCCCGGCCCGCGCCCCGGGCAGTGTGTGCGCGTGTGTGCGCGCGCGCGCGCGTGTGTGTGTGTTTGTGTGTGGCGGCGAGGGGTCGGGGCGGGCCGTACCTTCGATGCAGCACACCCGCCACAGCCCGGAGTGGGTGAGGTCGCCGCGGGCGCGGCGGGGCGGGGGCCCGTCGTCCATGGTCAGGTTGGTGCCGTTGCAGATGTGGGCGCTGGAGTAGAGCCAGTAGTCGGTGCCGATGGCGATGGCCATGAGCGAGAAGGCGGCGAAGGCTCCGGCCGTGGTCAGCAGCATCTGCAGCCCGCGGTCGCATCGCACCATGGTGGGCGCCTCATAGTCCGCCGCCCGCCGGCCCGGCCCGCCGCGCGCCGCTCCGGGGGCGCCGGGGTTGGGGGGCCGAGGGCCGGGGGGCGGCGCCGCGCTGCGCGCTCCGACCCCGCGCCCCGGGCGTGCCTGCGCTCCGGCCGCGCTGGGGCTCAAACTCCGAGGCGCGGCGGCGAGTGCGGGCTGCGCGGGCCGCCGGACGGGCTGGCGGCGGCGGCCGGGGGCTCCTCCCTCTGGGCCCGCCCTCCCCGCTCGGCCCGCGCCTCCGCCCCGCGCCCTCCTCGCCTCCCCCGCCGCCGCCGCCGCGCTCCGGGCCCGCGCCCCGCTCCTCTCGGCGCCGCCCCTCGCTCCTCGGGCCCCCGCCCAGCTGTGCGCTCTTCTGCGCTCCCCTCCCTCCCCAGCCCAGATTTTCTCCCCCTCGCCTCCCCCCTTCCCCGCGCCCGCTCGCGCGCTCTCTTCCTCTCCCAGGGTTCATTCACATTATTGGAGCGAAGGAAGCCGAGGGAAGGGTTCCCCAGGAGGACCGCAGGGAAAGTGCGTCTCCAGCCACCTCTCTTACCCGCCCAGGACACCTGGCCTCCCCTCCGACGGCCCTGCGGATTCTTTAATTTGTGGAGGAGGGCGTGGGTGGGTGTGTCCCTCCTTTCCCCTCTGTGGCTGTTCACCTGGTGATGAAGGTGAGTGCGGGAGTGCGTGTTCAGGTCAGAATTCCCGAAACCCTAGATAGGGGTCACGCCGCCAGACCTCGCAAGGCACGCCAGGCCCGGGCCAGGCCCTACCCCAGTGCAGGTGGTTCCTGCTCCTCTAGATCCCCTTGCAGGGCCTGGAAGGACCCTGCCTTGGGGTTGAGGGAGAAAGGCGATGTCAGCGAGAGGTCCTTTGGGGAGAACACAGGGTCCCTGCTTTCCAGAGTGGTGGCAAGGCTTAGATTGAAGATGGGGCGCTCCTGCGTGCTCCCATTTACCGGAGTACCCCAGGACTCCAAAGGTCTGTTAGTGCTGGAGTCCAGGACCACTCCAGTTGGTTAGATTCCAACACGCCACCCTCCAGCCTTTTCCCTCTCATTCCCAACCCCTTCGCAATACCTTTATTTCGTTTTGCCTTTTGCTGTACTCGAGCTTAACTGGCTTTCTTCCCTGGCCGTTATTGCCAGCCCCTGCCCCAAGCCCTGCTGGCTTCACTTGCTGCCTCTGTGATCCCATCCCGAACACACTCCCTTCTCCAGGGAGGGCCCGGGGTCCTCCTCCTTCAAGACCCAACTCCAAAGCTCGCCCTCCAGGAGGTTCTCAGAGCCCATCACCAGGAAGTGCAGCGCCCCTTGACCTCGCATGTCCAGATGGTCCTGTTGTTGGCAGCCCTGGCCGCACTGACCCCAGAATATGCAAAAAGGTGTAGGGAGTGCTGCTATTGCTGCAAGATGAAGCTTAACTTTCTTTGTGGCACCTTCCCTGGTCCCCACTCTTCAGAGAGTACCCAGTGTTGGAATCACTGTTCTCTGTTCTATGAGATCGTGAGCCTTTCTTATGACTGGCATATATGCTAAGGGCTTAGCAAATGTTTGCTGAGTGAGAAGTGTTTCTTGCCCCCTGGAAAATTATAGCCTGATCAGGAGGATTAGATCATAGAAATAAAGGGGGAAAACCTCACAAGGTGATAGAGCCTGAGGACCAGGCTGGCTGCATCAATGCTTGTTGGCCCCTTCTGCCCTTGGGGTGTCTATTCTGCTTTCCAAGTCACAACGGACAAGGGTCATCACTTCTAATTTACTTTAACCCACCTGTCACCTGGTCTGGGGTTCTGCACCCAGCGAGTGCTCAGTGTATGTCTGAGTGGACCAGAAGGTGTGAGATGGTTTGTTCTGACCCAGGACAGGGCTACGCACCTCCAACCCCTAACAGCTGATAGGCTAAGTCTAGGTTCAGTCTTCAGAAACTCCGGAAAAATGAATCCCACGTTCTTCTCCTCCTCCTCCTCCTCCTCGTCCTCGTCCTTCTCCTTCTTTTCCTCCTCTTCTTCTTCTTCTTTCTTCTCCTTCTTCTTCTTCTAACAAATCATTGTTTCAAATTAAATCATAAGTGGAAGCCCTATGTAAACAAACCAGTTAGACCAGTTAGACCTGTAGGTAAGGGCTGGCATGGCTCTGGTTGAACGAGGGACCCAGGGCACCGGTGCTCACCCACACACATCATGCACTGCAGCCCCCAAAGCACCTCTCTGGACCCTGGGTTCCACAAAGCATGCTGTGAAAACCCATATCCTGAGCCAGCCACTAAGTTACTCAGGAACGTCCCCCTCCACCCTGTCCTGCTTGCAGCCTTCCTCAGAGACTTTGGGAGAAACAAATGAATATGAGTTACATGAACCTGATCTGCAGGGGTGGAGAGTAGCAGTTTCTCCCAGTCACCTGTTAGATGGGGAGATGAGACTTAGGAGGTGGGACCCTCCTCCAAGCAAGCAGTCCTCACGTTCATCCCTTGGGAGACAAAACCGAAATCTTCCTTGATCAGAACCTTGGTAGACCAGCTCTCACTCCTCCACTTGCAGAAAAGTGTGCAGGAGAGTTGAGAACACACCAGACCAGGAGCCAAGACAGTCACCTTCTCACGCTGGCTCCAGGACTAACTTGTAAGGTAATCTGGATCAGCCAAAACCACCTGGGAAAAGCATACCTCTCTAGTCCAACTTTCAGAGTTGTTTCAAGGGTTGGCGGGGCATTGTGCCTCCCGCCTGTAATCTCGGCACTTTGGGAGGCCGAGGCAGGGGGATCACTTGAGGTCAAGAGTTGGAGACCAGCCTGGCCAACATGGTGAAACCCTGTCTCTACTAAAAATACAAAAAAAAAAAAAAAAAAAAAAAAAAAAATTAGCCGGTGGTGGTATGTGCCTGTAATCCCAGCTGCTTGGGAGGCTGAGGCAGGAGAATTGCTTGTACTCAGGAGGCGGAGGCTGCAGTGAGCTGAGGTTGCATCACTGCACTCCAGCTTGGGTAACAGAGTGAGACTCTATCACCAAAAAAAAAAAAAAAAAAAAAAAAAAGAGTTGTTTCAAGGGTCAAAAAAGCCACCTTGCGTGTCGTGTACATGTAGCAGCTGTTTGTGGGCTGGGCAAGTATAGGCTGGCTTTTCTGCCTTTTTTTGGAAACAAGTGAACCCAAGTGTCTAGGAGGCATATATTATATGGACTTAAAAATTTTTTTTCTTTTTCTTTTTCTTTTTTTTGAGATGGAGTCTCTCTCTGTCACCCAAGCTAGAGTGCAGTGGCACAATTTCGGCTCACTGCAATCTCCACCTCCTGGGTTCAAGCAATCTTCCTGTCTCAGCCCCCCGAGTAGCCAGGACAGGTATGTGCCACCATGCTAGGCTAACTTTTGTATTTTTAGTAGAGACTGGGGTTTCACCAGGTTGGCCAGGCTGGTTTCGAACTCCTGACCTCAAGTGATCTACCCACCTCAGCCTCCTAAAGTGTTGAAATTACAGGCGTGAGCCACTGCGCCCAGCCTACAGTCACTGTTAATTCTCACTATCACCCCCTGACAACACCGGGGAATCTGAGGTGCAAAGACAGTGAGTAACTTGCTCCAGGTCTCATACCTGGAGGGTGGGATCAGATCTTAGCTCACAGCTCAGTGACTTCAAGGCCAGAGTTTCTCTAAGATGCTAAACAGCCTCTTTGCCATTGTTAAGTACTGCTCGGCTGTGTCGTCATTATTACCTGTTAATGTAGGGGGACCCCAACGGGAGTTTGGCAGTTTGCCTTTCTGTCTGCGGACACCCATGGGTCACCGTGCTTGGCCCTGCAGTTATGAGGGTGTGGACTGTTGAGTCGCATAAGGACTTGACCGCCACAGGGAGCTGGCGCAAACCCAGGACTGGCTGAGACCATTCATCATGCTTGGGTGAGCACAATTTAAATCTGGAAATTTCTGCTCAGCCAGATTAGAGAACTCTAAATGACAGTATTTAACTGCTGCCTGAGGACCCTGGAGTTTCTCCCATGTGACACTTCCAGAATCGAGGGAGGGATGTGTTTTTCTCTTGCCTAGGAGGAGGTCTTGGACTGGTCTTGTTCGGAGAGACTAGACACTTGGCATCCTCCCCCTCCACGACCCCCCCCACCCCATATAAATATAAATGTTACTGCTGGGGGTGTGAACAAGTAAACATGTGTATGATTACCTCCCTTGCCAGCTGAGAAGGTGGCAGGATTTGCCAGTCACTTGGACCAGTCCTCCAAAACTGTCTTTTTCTATCCGATGTGGTTTCTTTCCTTCTTACTGAATCATTTAGGTAATTATCTCAATTCTTCACTTTACTTTGGCTGTGAAGACAGAGCCTTAATGAGCCCAGCACCCTGGGCAATCTCAGCTCCAGGGAGAGGCATCTGGGCAGCGGCTGTGGGAGGGGAAGGCAGAGTTAGGACGCTCACGTTGTGTAACCTGCACGTCCAAGCGGCCGAGAAGTCGGGAGAGGCCCTCCACCAGCCAGGGGAGCACAGTCGCTGTCTGCAGCAGCTCCCACAGCCTTGAGCAAAACCTTTATTTTCCCCGAAATAATGACCTTTGTGTGTCAACTTTTGTAGTATCTCATTTCCAGACCTAAAGCAGATGGCTCTGGTGATTTCAGAAGGCTTCGTGAGGGGATTTGAGGAGCCTGCTTGAGATCTCAGGCGAATTGACACAAAGAATGATTTCCCGTTTCTGTAGCCAAGGCTTGGGGATGAGGCCCCGAAGACTTCTGGGGCTTGGCTCAGTGTGAAGGCTTATCTGGAAACTCATCCAGCCTGCTCAGCCTCCAAGAAGAATGCCTGGAGATGCGGGTCCTGACAGCCTCCCCTCCTGACAGATGATGCATGCTGCAAGGATGACTTTTTCTTTTCTTTCTTTTTCTTTTTCTTTTTCTTTTTCTTTTTTTTTTTTTTGCTTCAGTATTTCAGTAGGCTCCTTTGAGGGAGATCAGAAAATGCTACATGGCTTTATGTATTCAAGTTTATTCCATTTCATTTGCTTTTCACGGATATCCCATTCAAGGTGATGGAAGCTGAATACACAGCATTTTTTTTTTTCCAGCTCAGCGGCGATAAAACGGTGGCATGCTTGCCATCTCCATGCCAGACCGGGACCTAGAAGTGCAGAGAGAAGGAAAATAGTATTTCATGAGTGTCCTCTGGGTGCCCGTGATTGCTTCTCTCATTTCAG